TAAGAAGAAGAAGGGGAGTAAGAAGAACAGGTGGGGGAGTAAGAAGAACAGGTGGGGGAGTAAGACGACCAAGGGGGAAGTATGAAGAACACAGGGAGGAGGGGGGTAAGACGAACACAGGGGGTGTGAGGAGAACACATAGAGGGAGGAGTGAGAAGAACACAGGGAGGGTGGAGGGGGGGATGAGAAGAGCACAGGGAGGGTGGGTGAGTGTGAGAAGAGACCGCTAGGGGAGAGGAGAGACCACTAAGGTGCAGGGGAGAGCTCTACGGGACAGAAGGGCAGCTCTATAGGACAGGGGCCAAGACAGGGAGCTCTTTTCACACTACGCGCGCACACACACACAATGCATCCCTATACATACACAAAAACACAACATGCTTCCCTTACACACAGAGAAACACACAATGCATCCATTACACACACACACACACAATGCAACCCTTACACACAAAGACAATGCATCCTCTGCACACATACACAGAAACAGACAATGCAAACCCGTACACACACATGCAAACACACACACTTCTTTTCTTACATACACACAGAAACACAATGCATCTCTTACACCCAATGCACACACATACAGACACACACTTTGCATCCCTTATGCATACAAACACAGATTCACACAATGCATCCCTTACACACAACCAGAAACACACAATACATCCCTTATACACAAATACACACTGCTTCCACTAAACACAAACCACACTGCATCACCTACACAAACTGGTATCCCTATACAGTACATACCATAAGCACACATATTAGATCCTCTACAATAACACATCCCCTACACACTCCACTCCCTGTGAGCGAACTCATGGGTGGGTGGAACTTATGAGTGGGCCCAAAAAAATTGAGCTGCTTCCAATTCTCCCAGAACATTGAATTTTGTGACCACAGTTGCAAACAGCCTCCAGAGATCCTGTTCTACACCAGACCAGTGGAGCTAAACTGCAGCCCATCATCATCCTCATCTGGTTGTAAGTAGGCAATCTAGTATATTATTAGTGACACTAATCTATAATTTACCTCACATTAAAGGGACACTATAGCTTAATGAAGTGGTTCTGGTGTCTACAGCTGGTCCCTGCAGGCTTTTTAATGTAAACACACACTGTGTGCAGCACTGGCGTTAGTTCATATGGGTGGGGCATTGTGATGTCACATGGGGGGGCAGCAAATTTTTATTTTGTCTAGGGCGGCAAAAATCCTTGCACCGGCTCTGATCCTGGGCAGGTGCACCAGTCTACTGGTGACCCACAGGAGGGGAGTGCACTGATTGCACTGCACTCTCCTCCTGCCCAGCCCCATCTTTACCGCAGTGCAAGTGCCCTCTGCCCTTAATTTACAGTGGCTCACACTCACAACAAGCAGTGCCTGGAGCCGTGAAGGAGCGGGTATGGCAAAGAGCTACTGATTAGCATAACATCAATATCCGTTATAAAACCAGAAAAAGGTGGGCATGGACGGTGAACTGATTTGGTGGTGCAATGGGCCACTTAACTGGTTTTGCCCCCCAGGCCTAAGAGACACAGGGAAAGGGGGGAGGGAGAGAGATGGGGAGGAGGGAGAGACACAGGGAAAGGGGGGAGGAAGAGACACAGGGAAAGGGGGTGAAAGAGGCAGAGGGGGAAGAGAGAGACAAAGAGGGAGAAATGAGAGAGAGACACACAAGGGAGGGGAAGAAAGAGGCAGAGGGGGAAGAGAGAGACTGGGAAGGAGAGGGGATACATTGACACAGAGGAGCAGTGAGGGGGAGAAAGAAACATACAGAGTGACTGGGGGAGACAAAAAGGCACACAGAGGGGCTGGAGATAAAGAGACACACATAGGGGCAGTATATATCACAAAGCCCCCAAGGCTTTCCCCTGCCGGCCGATCTCCCTCCCCGTTCCACAGGCACCGTGCAGCCAGTCGGCAGGGGAGGAAGAGAGGACCTGGGGCAATGCTCTGGCTCTCACGAGGGTGAACTCTAGCCCTGGAGCTACGGGCTAGAGTTCACTCTCACCACTTCCTGGTGGTCCCAGTAGTAGGAGTGAACTCTAGCCCCATACATACACACACTGCCCTACACACACACCATACACATTCACACACACACACACATACCATACACATTTACACACTGCCCACCCACACACTGAACCTTTCACACACATTGCACCACTGCTCCTATACCCTACTACAGCCCCATATCCCAGCAGACTCCAGGTAAGTTGTCAAACTGTTCTTAAACGCTTTGACGACTTACTCTGGGAGGGGGTGCCGACGCTCCTGGCACCATAACCACTACACAGAGGAGTAGTGGTTATTGTGCATGGAATATTTCTTTAAATAATCTACAAGTGCCCCTCTCAGGCTCAGGCTCTGGATCCGCCATTAGTATATGACATGTATATTAATGTGTGTATTAGTTTTATATCTCTATTATATTTACACATATTAATGTACATTTATAAATGCATAATACACAGAGAAATTTCATTAATATGTACCCCATATGTAATGAGCAGATATTAACCCAGTCTTGTTGCTAGGTGCATACTCCAGCACAATAACATATTTAAAGTGAAGAGAACACCCACAGGACTTCAAAATATTTTTTTTTTACAGTTGTGCCCTACATACATTCACCATTTCAGTCCCATTAACAAGCTTTCCTTAATATGTCAAGGTAGTTGGACTGAAACATTGATTACATGCAAAGGCACGTCTGCTTAAAATAAATCTGCACTTTTGTTTATTTTGAAGCCTATGAGTGCGCTTTTTACGTTGAAGTACTTTTTAATTTTAATTTATCTGTTCTAACTCTGTATCTGCACACTATGCTGGCGCGATGCATTATGGGGCTGGTAAATATTTTTTTTCCAGGGCTGCTTTTAATTCCCAGTCCGGCCCTGGCAACCAGCCTCCCCCTCCAACAGCAGCCAGAGATACCGGGAGAGGGGGAAGACAAACCTACCCACACTGGCGCAGATGGGACCGCGGTCTCTGTGCCAGTCCTACAGGGAGGCTGGACGGGCGGTCCAGATCCCCAACCAACTCCGCAGGGATGCCAGGAGGAGGAGGTAAGTGAAACTTCCCCTCCCCAGCTACATCCCAACCGGGTCCTGGGGGCAGTGGATGAGCCTGCGATACCCACTGACCCCCTCCCAGCAGAAGAGCTGGCATCTGGGCAGAGCTCTGTTAGCCTCTGCCCCCCCTTTTCCCCTGTATCAGAGCCTGACTTACCACGGGTTACCCCAGTGGAAGAGCTGGCAGCAGGGCAGAGCGCCGCTGGCCTCTGCCCCCCAAGCAACACCAGCAGTTTGCCTAGCTGCACCAGGGAGACCGAGAGTGCTGCGCTGTCCCACTACAAACTTGAACCTACAGGCCAGTACCATTTATTGTGGGGGGGTTACTCTGCATATTTTTCTTTGTGGGTGGGCTGCCCGACTAATCTAGGTACAGACCGGCAGAAGGTCAGGTACCTGTTTAGTCTTCCCCCCAAAGGGAAGATGTGTGACGAAGTGCCCTTCGCCACTTGTGCCTGGAGAGGACTGCTTGCCCGCCTCTTGCCCTGTGACTATGGCCCCTGGGATGTATTGCCCTTTAAAGACATGATTTGGGCATAATGGATTTGTGTTGTGCTGCTGCTGGCCCTTTAAGAACCATCTGGGGACATACTGTGGAGTTACTGGGTGGCCACCATTTCCTGTATCAGAAGCACATGGTGAGAACAATTGATGGCGGCCATTTTAACTCACAGACACTGTGTGGACTTTTCAACACGGTGCCATCTCGCCAGTATTTGGTGCACAGAGACATCGTGCGGTGGTTTTGGACTATACAGCAGGGGACACATTATACAGTGATTGTTTTTCATTTAGCCTGTATATGTTCTGCAGAATCTACATTAAACTGTATTTTCCAAAGTACTGAACGGATCTGGGTGAATTTTGGATATGTGGTTCAACCAGATCCCCCGGTTCCAAGGATATACTTTTTATGGGGTTATTGCATGTTTTGGGGTCCCTGTGTGTTTTATGAAACTGTATTATTTCTGGCCAGCAGATAATTGAGCTTTGTGTATTGTAGAAACTCAATTATCTAGCCTGGCCCAGAGGAGGAGTTTTGTGTTGCATAAATTGTGAGTTCTGTGTGCCAGTAAATCAGTCTTGTTCCAGCATTAAGCCTTGGCTCATGTTTGGGGGATTGGAGAAATACACTCTGGGGATTGCTATAATCACTATACTCCCCAGGGTATGATCACTAAGTTCTGCTAAGAGCTTGTTCCTGTTCCTGCTCTCTGGGGAAAGAGAGGTTCACCCACTGGAAGCTGGATCCTGGCCTTGGGTCCAGGGTGGGTGGAGACAGCAGAGACCCCGGCGCAGTTGCATCGCTGGAAGTGGGGTCTGCAGTGCTGATGGTGTCGGTTGGAGTGCTTGGAGTCCTCAGCGAGCACTAGGAGCATCGATTGGCGGAGGTACTCAGTCGGAGTGCCAGCGTTCCGTCACATTTGGTGGCAGCGGTGGGATGGCATCCTAGTGCGAGGACCAGCAGCTCAGAGACACCGGTAATGTGTGGAGTTACGGATTTATAATTGAGGGCAACGCTAGCCTCTGCGCAGCGTCCCTACCTACAGCAACATGGAGCTAGCAAGACCCTGGACAGCAGCCAGTGAATTGCAAATCCGCCTGTCACAGTGCTATGAGGGTGCTGATTTCATGAAGGAAGTAAAGGCGCGGCTGGTCTGGTTTGGCCCAAACCCTTCAGATGAGGTGGTCCATCAAGTGATGCGCCTGTTGAGTGCTGAGAACCAAGACGCACGGAACTACGAGTACCAACTGTGGAGTTTGGGGGTATTGACACCCCGTCTCCAGCGACAGAGTGAGTTACAGGGAGAGGAGAGCAGCGACCTCCCTTCCCAGCGGCAGTGCACCGTACAGAGGGAAGAGACAACCGGTCTCTCTCCCCAGCGGCGGCCTGAGTTCCAGGAGGAGGTGCTGGTAGATCCCTCCCCCGTACAGCAACCAGCATCCTGGAGAGGGGAGGCAACCGGCCTCCCTCTCCAACAGCAGCCGGAGGTGGGCGACCTCATAGACTTGTCCTGGGGACACAGAGAGATGGCAAGCGGAGATGGGACCGAAGTCTCTCTGCCAGCCCTACAGGGATGCTGGGCAGTCAGCCCAGGTCCCCAGTGGCAGTATAATATACAGGGAGAGGAGACAACTGGTTCCAGGAAGAGGTGATGGTCGATCCCTCCACCTTACAGCAACCTGCGTCCTGGGGAGTGGGGGCAACCAGCAGGGCCGGAATGGCCCACCGGGATACCGGGAAATTTCCTGGTGTGCCGCGGCACCTGGGGGCCGGCCGCGTTCCTGGGCCGGCCCTTTAAATACTGCAGCCGCCCGAGCGCTCTGTTAAGAGCGCTCGGGCGGCTGCAGCTTCTCCCCTGTAGCGTGGCCGAGCTGCACTCTGGTCCGCGGTGGCCGGCCGGAGTGATAGGAATGTGCACACTGAGTGTGCACTTCCTGTCAGTCCGGCCGGTTACAGGAAACAGAAACTACTGTTCCGCGCGGAGTTTCTGTTTCCTGTAACCGGCCGGACTGATAGGAAGTGCACACTCAGTGTGCACCTTCCTATCACTCCGGCCGGCCACCGCGGACC